GCCTTTTAAAATCTATTTCTCCCACGGGAAAAGGTTCCATATATATTAAGATTGATTTTTTGAAAGCGTCCATTAGCTAATGAATATCTGTAGGGGTGAGTGTGATAAATAGCAGTTGGGAAACATAAGCTGGGAGGATGGCAGCAGACCTCCAATTGGCCACATGTGTCCCTGAAAAACCACTGCTCTCCTTGCCCGGGGCACGTGCTGCACTTTAATTTGCATCATCTCCTGGGGGCAAGTGCAGTGTCTTCTCGCCAATTGCCCGCAGCCCGCTGATTTGATGGTCTGTGTTGTTCTAATTCGCCTTCTGAGCTGCCACTGCGACAGCCCTGCTGGGGTCCTGTCACCGTTGCTGGTGGCAGTGCATGCCTTGACATGCGGTAATGGCCGTAGCACGCTTTGATTTGAAAGGGGCAGGCAGTGCGATGTGCTGAGACCGTGTCCTTTTATTCACACGTCTTCCTGCGCTGTGTCTTGTGGCTTCGCCCAGAGCACCTTGGACAGCATGCAGGTATTTGAAGGCAGGGTGCTCCCTGTGCCTGGGGTGCTCCCTGTTCCCCGGGGGTGCTCCCTGTGCCTGGGGGTGCTCCCTGTGCTTGTGGTGCTTTCCTGTGCTTGGTGGTGCTTTCCTGTGCTTGGTGGTGCTTTCCTGTGAATGGAGAAGCCTCGCTCCCTGGGCCTGCTCAACCCCCTCTTCTTCCAACAGTGGGTCGGGGGAGGGCTGAGTAGCTGCTTCCGGAACCCCCCCACCCCCGAGGGGACGGGCTTTCATCTGGACCTTGGGACACTAGCCTCTGGTCTCTGAAGTGTTGAGTAGGCCCAGCGAACCTGGCTTCCCATTTTCTGCCACAGCTGTAACCTTCAGGCTGGGAGAAGAGTTCCGTGAACTCAGATGACCACAGGGAGGAGCTGTGAGCGCTGGGCCAGTCACGTGATTGACAGCCCGACTGAGAGGCCAGAATTGGGTCGGTCATCAGAACAGGCGCCTGAACGTTGCACCTGTGCATCTGTGTCCGTGTACAGGAGAGGTGTCATGGGGAGCCCAGCCCATACCTGCTCTTCTGTGCCTCAGCTACAGAAGCGGCAAGTGTCACCTCTGCTTACGGGCCATTGGCCCGAGCTGGTGTCACGGCCCGACTTCAGTGCGGGAGAAGCAGGAAGTGCAGGCTCCTGGGTGCAGGTGAAGCCACTGCGGTGGCCCCATGGCACTGTGTCTGCCTCGCTGAGCTCTGGGGTCCATACGAGACACTGCCGTTGGGACACTCAAGCGTGACAGAACGTTAGCCAAGTTGAGAATCTGAGAGGGGATAAAGATTATACTTAATGTTTTGCATCCTGTGTCCCTCAGGCGTTGTCCTTCTTCAGGGATTGTGGTATGCACAGGGGTCTCCGCCCCCACCCCTAGGAGTGGCCTTAGCTACCAGAGCCCATGAGTCCCCGCAGGGACAGGAGGTGGGTGGAGACAAAGAAACCAATGTGCATGCTCCACATTTGGGATTTCAGCTGTCCCAGGACAAACTGACTCCTTCGTCCGCAGGCACCGAGGGCAGCAGGTAGTCAGCGGGCAGTTCGGGGGTCCTGAGGTCCCATCTTCTCTGTGCACACAGCACCCGTATGACAAACACACATCTGTACCGAAACGGGAACATGCTAAGGACCTAGGCCCACCAGCCTCGAACTCACTGTGCTCCAATTGGATGCTTAATGAACCCATTAATCATATGAACCAGAGAAAACGTCTAAGACACTTGTGCTTTAATGGTGCTGAAGCTGTACAGATCGCAGAATGCAAAACATTAAGTAGCTGGAAATCTCCACTTCCCACATTCTCCCCTCGGCCACTCCTCGGTTACATTTCAGTGTCCAGACTGCATGTCCTGTGAAGGACCTGGAACTCGGAGTCTGTTCCGATGAACTGGTGTGGCTTTTCTGTGTGTGTTTTCATCGCGGGTGTGGCCAACACAGGGCGAGTGTAGCCCAGGCATTGAAAAGCTCTCCTTAACTGGGGATCACCCTGAAAAAGTGTTGAGGGAGCCCCCGTGTCTCTCACTGAAGATAAGCAGGGAGTGCTGATGGGCTCAAAGGTACTGTCACACTTCGCTGAAAACTAAGTGTGACAAAGCGTGGGGTGACTGAGGGGGCAGCGCCCGTCCTCTGGCAGTGTCCCTGTGGGGACTTTGCCCACAGAGGGTGGAAGGGCTTAGCTCCTGCTGACGGAGGACCGGAAGGCACACGGCACCCACTGCATAGCTGAGGAAACGGAGGCTCATGAGCTGATGTGACTCTGCCTCATGGCCCCTGAGTGATGGAGGGGGCCGAGCTCAAGCCCGGAGGCAGAGACCTGCGTCCATCCTGCCACTCACGGGGTGTGTGACCTTGGCCTTTAGTCCGTTGTGGCCTCATGTCCCTCGCTGGGCTCATGCCAACTTAGCCCCACGGAGCCTCTCTGACCATCGGCGACAATGCACACAAAGCTTCCGGCAGGGCTCGGCACATAGTAGGTGCTTAGCAAATGATGAATATCATCGCAACCCTTGTTTGCATGTAAAGGCAACTCGCTGCTGTGCAGGGTGACCCAGGTTGCCCGGGGCATCCCCTGGATTGGCTGTTCTGGCACGATTATTCACAGTGGCCCTTCCCTTTCAAGCTGTCCTGGCTGGGACAGTGGTCTTGGGTCATGGCGCCCACTCGCCGGCTGCCCTTCCTGAAGCTAGAAGTCTAAGGGACCTGGGCGTGCTGGCCGGCATCTGTCTGGATGCGTTGGCTTTCGTTTTTATAAATACCCGCATCCAAATTTGCAAGTCTCCGCTGTTGGTTCCAGTTATAGCTCACTTGCCCGATGACTGCATCATCTGTCCCCAGAGCAGTCAGGACGCAATGCTTCTGCCTTCTCATGCTGTGGCAGGTGGCAGGCGGCTGCTCGGGGGGACGTGGGGCGAGGGCTGGAGACCCGAAGGGGCCAGGTCAGCTCACACGGGCCTGGTTCCCCCTGCCCATCTGACCACACAGCCAGAGGGTCACTCAGCCAGGGGACCACCCAGCCAGGAGGCCTGGAATAAATACTGATGCCAAACCATGGGCTGCTGCATTCCCTCTGCACCGTTTAGTGGCACTTCTGTCTGCTGGTGACTCGGGCCACCAGACATTTACCGAGTCGCTGGGCTGGGCGTCAGCCTTGCAGGCTGCGCCAGCCAGTGTCAGCCAAGCCAGGAGGCTGTGCTCTGGACGCCCCTGGAGAGGAAACAGCACAGAAGCCCCAGGAGTTCCCTGAGGGGACACTCACCTGTGCTATGGCCTGCTGGGATCTGGGTCCCCAGCCCTCAGCTCCCTGTTCTGACCATTTTACCCCTGAAACAAGTGTGAAAGGCATCTGGAAGCTGCCTTGAAGCTGTCTCCTCTGATACCCGGAAGAGACGCGCCTAACTGGAGACAGGTGCAAACAATTAGGTGTGATGACCCGACTCAGATTTTTTTAATAACGAAATTGTCCCGCGTGCAGACGTGTGAAGCAAACAGTGATTGAGAGGCGGCGAGAACACGTGTCTGTGCTGGGGCTCCGCGAGCCCCCGGCCTGCGCTGTGGGCAGTGCCCATCACCAGCTCCTATGGAAGGCTTTCCCGAGGGAGAACGTCAGCTTTCCGGGCCTGGCTCTGGTGGCCTTGGGCGCCAGGAATCCACGGACTCAATATCTGGACACGGCACCTTTCAGAGACCCAGCCGTGGAGCCATCCAGGAGCACCCTGGGGCAGCGCTAAGATTCTTGAGGCAGTCCATGTGTCTTGAATTTCTCTAGTTTCACCAATGGCTGCCCGTTTCTCCCACTCATCACGTGGAGAGAAAAGCTGATCATTTCACCAGTGTTTTCCTGATACCGGCCCTACTGCTGAGCAAGCCAGACATCAACGGGGATGCGGATGGCAGACGTCTGTGGGGCTGCCGCCTGGGGTGCAAAGCTGTCCTGACGTCTACACGGCCCATCCTGGGGTGGGATCTGCAGATCGGCGACTGACTGCCCCAAAGCCGAAGTCCGCCTCTGTGGGACTCGCACTCTCCAGCTAGAAAGATCGTAAATTGCCGCTCCCAGCGCCCCGAGCCCAGACGCTCTGGGGATCATCCTGGGTGCCAGGACTTTTGTGGGTACAGCTGGAGGCCACCACCGGGGCCATGAGGGCCTTCCAGGCCCACCTGACCTAGCTGGTGCCTGGACACCACCCACGTGTCCACCTAGAGCAGAATCAGAACAGCGGCCATAGGCCATGTCCACGTCTAGGTGGGCCTTGTCAGCCACACTGTTTACAAGCCTTTGAAATACTCATCAGCAATGAAAAATGGAGAGATTTTATGTTAAAATGAAGATTCAGTGCTTCTCTTGGAAGACTGGAAGTTTGGCCCCAGTGGGTCTGGACGCCCTGTTCACCACATTCCCCGGTTTCCTGTGGGTTTTCCCTGTTTCCTTCTCGTTGGCATCCTCCACACCAGCCCCTGTGGATGTCCAGTTTACACCGATGGTCTGATGTCAGTCACATCAGAGCCAGCAGTCGTTTCTACAGGCATATTCTGAGCTAGCTGCCGGGGGACTGTGTCGCAGTCCTTATCAGTGAAGGGGCCCCCTGAACAAAGAAACGCTCTTGGAAGGAGTGCCCGAGAGAGCGCTCAGGGAGTGTGGGCCCTGGGCCCTGCCCGCAGTGGGCGCCGAGGAGACGGCGTTCGTAGTAGCTCGTGAGAGGCCCTGCCATCCCGCCACCCTGCAGGACCCCTGGCTGCCCTGTTACGGCCGAGATCCTGCAGGGCTGGCTGGGAGCAGGCTGTCCGCCAGCGTCCCTCCCCAGCAGATCAAGTCACAGGGCCCCGTCCTGTGGGCCTCTGTCTCGCATGTGCATCGGACCCGAACCCCCAGTTCAGGCTCAGGAAGACCCCTTCATCTGGTGTGAGGTCCCCACACACCGGCCATTCATGCCCTGCCTTCGCGATTTTCACCGTATCTGCATGCCACCAACATTATTTTCTCATATTTTCTTTAAATCTGTTCCCTTTTTCAAACTCCATTTTGAAATAACCTGAGGTTCACAAGAAGTTTCCAAATAGGTTGTTCCACGGTGTCCTTCACTCGGCCCCCAAAGACGCGTCTCATCTGACCGCAGTGCACTGTCCAAACCAGGACACCGGTGTGTGCACAGTGCCCCTCGCCCACTGCAGCCCTTGTTTGGATGTCCCGATTCTCATACTTGTTCTCCCTGTGGGGCCCGCTTGCACGTAACACATGGTCCATCACCCCAAAGATGCTCAGGGCACCCCTTCATCGGCACACCCTCCGGCAGCCTAGAACCCCAACAGCCAGTGATCTGTTCTTCACCACGATCATGGTGTCACTCCGAGAACGGTGCATAAGTGACAAGTCCATTTGCTGTTTTGCTCACTTGATGCACACACGGCACCGAGGCTCTGACGTGCCAGCCGCGTGTTTCTAATGCACGTGGGAATGAACTGGTGTTTGTGAGCATGTGCACACCACCTGCGCACCTGCCACGCGCCTGGCCCACCCAACTGAGCTCAGGGCTCCTCTGATGCTGGGTCGTTGGTGGTTGTCCCGTCTGAGGTCCCTGCCTGCCCTCCATGGGCCCACAACTCTGGCCTGGACCACACAGCTTGTCATTAGGGCTGGGCGGGGACAGCCGCTGCCCTTGGCCAGGAGGCCTCTGCCCTGCTACCCTGCTCTGGGGTCAGAGCTATTCCCCAGACCCTGTGCATCCCCAACGGGACAGAGGGGCGGGAGGCGGCCTGACGCTGTCCCCACCTGTACCTCCCTTGGTGGAGACAGCGATCATAGCTGAGCTCATTCAGCTTTTTAAAAGAAGAATCCTGCTGATCCTTTTTTAATGAATCGAAAAACTTAATCATAGGTTTGGGATTTGTTAGGTTTATTTTTGGAAACCTGTGATCTCAGACATAAATAGCACTTGATTCTGGACGAAGGAGCTGGGAAGCTTAAAGCCGGTGCTGGGGACAGGACAGGGACGAGTGTGTCAGCTGGCCCTTCAAGCAGGCTGAGGGTCAGTCTGTCACCGTCCCTGTGACTCCTGATTCCCACGCAAACTGTGAAACCAGACGTCTGCTAAATGCCAGCTGCTACCAAGTCCTCTTCCAAGCGCTGGGGACACAGCAGGAAGGAAGCGACAAAAGTTCCTGCCCTCGCGGAGCTGCCATTTCCGTGGGAGGAGCCAGACAGCACGGAACCGTCAGCCCAGCGGATGGGGGTTTCCTTGAGAGCCGGAGCCACGCAGGGACGTCCATGCAGACAAAACGGGCCACTGCCACTGGGAACTTGACGCCTGCAAATCGGGGTCCCTGTTTTCACTGATCCAGCAAGCATTTACTGAGCACCTACTATGTGCCAATTCTGTGCAGAGCACTGAGGCAGTCTCGGGGAACCAGAAAGCAAAGGCTTGGTGTTTACCGTGTGGTCTTGGAGACAGACGAGAAGTAATCGGAAAGCTAGTGAAATGTGGGGGGCGGTCGGTGCCGCGAAGACAGCACTGCAGGGCGAGGGGATGGAGGGGACCCTCCATGGGCCCGTGTGTGACATGGGCGCCCAGCGGGGCACAAAGCCTGTTTCTGTACCAGGACAGGACGTGTAGTCCATGCGTATCTGGGGAGGGGACAGTGACTCGCTCAGACCCACCCAGTGAGAGTGGATGGCATGCAGCCTGGGCGTAAGCTGGGGGGCGCGGGGGGAGCCGGGCAGGAACCAGAGAGAGCAGGAGTGGCTGTGGGCCACCCTGGCCTGACGTGTGTCCCTGAGACATCTCCAGGTGTCTGCGGTGGCACCATGCTGCCGCCAGCACGCAGGTAGAATTTCCCTTCATTGCCAAAGCGGTGTTCTCTGAGGTTCTGCAGCACCCGGGGCGGGCGTCCCCTGGAAAACAGCGTGTCAGTGGGTTAGCAGTTGGGCTGTCCCCAAGTCTGGGCTGCGTCACCGCCTCACACGCCACGTTTCAAACAGCCACGGCGAGGCGTGCCAACCGCAAAGTGCCTGGGCTGCACACACAGCCGGCACCATGCAACTTGGCTGGGGTCTGAATGTTCGCAGGATTTCTTGGCACCTGTGGTCCCCACGTTCACCCTGGAAGGGAACTTGGCCAGCGGCCAGGCTGCGTGGGAAGCTTGGTTCTATGAGTTTCCACATGGAGTGAGGTGGCAGCCCGCCACACGCACGCACACACGCGCACACTGACGCGCACGCGGACACGGCGCTCACCCACACGTGTGCCCACCTCCCGGCGCCCGCTGACGGGCTGTGTGTGCCTCTCCGCAGTGCAAGGTGCGGGAGCTGGAGGAGAAGTGCCGGGCACAGAGCGAGCAGTTCCGCTTGTTGTCGCGGGACCTGCACAAGTTCCGGCAGCACGCGGGCCACGTCGACCTGCTGGGTGGCAGCCCCGGGGCCTCTGCGGACGTCCCCTCGACCCCCAGCAAGCCTTTCCCACAGCTCGTGAATGGAATAGCCCCCTCCATCGGTGCAGGTGAGTGCCTGGACCCCTCCAGCCTGGGCCTGGGGGGAGAAGGGGTGGCCAGCGACCCCCACCCCCTCCAGGTGTGCACAGCTCGTGTCTGGGAAGCAGTCAGTGACCCCGACTTGGGCCGACATCAAGCTCGCCTGGCGTTCTGCTCTGCTCTGAACCCTGGATGGATGTCACAAGCGTGACCCTGGCAGTGTCTGTCGGTGCTGTCCTGAGCCCCATTCCACAGACAGGCAAGGCTGAGACCCTGGTGGGGGTCACAGCTGAGAGGGATCCCGGCCACCCCTGTGCTGGGCTGCCAGCTGCTCCCCCTGCTTTCACCCCCGCAGCCTCCTCATGGCGTGGGGGTGTGCCTGGAACTGTATGCACAGCAAGGGGAGAAGGGCAACCCCCGTCCGTCAGATCTGTTGAGGAGGCAGAGTGGGGAGCAGGGTGTTTAACTTGGTGTGCCGTCGGGGGGTGGTTTGTCTTCACTCAGGCAAATGGTGACAGCAGCATTAAATGACCGTCCTCGAAGGTGTCCGGTTTGGTGTGGGAAAAGCCCTGCTCAGCAAGGGGCCTCTCCCCACTGACAGTTCACCCTGCAGCACAGGCTACGGGGTCATGGTCACGTCCACCTGACAGTGTAGGGGAGACGCGTGTCAGAACCCCCTTGGGAATTCCATGAGAGAGAGAACTTGTAGTTTTCTCCCTGTTCTTATCTTTCCTACTCAAGCACGAGATAGAATGCAAGGGGCTGTGCAAACAGGACAGAGGGAAGGGGGGGTCTGAACGTCCCCCCACACGTGTTCTGAGCACGTGACACACGTGGGCTGATGTGAGCCAGAGGGCCAGGCCTGTGTGCACCCTGCTCGGTGGGCGGAGAAGGAAACAGGTAGACAGATGGATGACTGGGTGGCCCCCACTCAGATGTGGGGGGCCCAGGTGACAAAGCAGAAAGTGACCCGGGGCCACTTAGTGGGCTGGTCAGGGGAGGCCACTTCCAGGAAGGGATGTTTGAGCTGCGAAAGCTGTAGGACAAGAAGGGGTGAGGCAGTCTTGGCTCTTCTCAGATGGAGAAAGGTTTTTTGGTTGGACGGTCATATAATTTTGGCCAGCCCATGGTTTTCAGGGTCCCTAAACCCCGAGCCTGTGAGTCTCAGGACCCAGCATGTGCTCATGGCTGAGATCTGTGACAGCGACAGGGCCCAGGGCCACGGTCGGGTCAGTCAGGAAGGAGACGGGCGCCTGCGGGACCCCCGTGCAGGCGTCCCGTGGGCGCACCGTCCCAGGAGGCTCCACAGAGTGCCTCCCGGGCAGCAGACCATGCAGGCACATGTGGGCACAGTGCCAGGCTTTTACCAGGGCTGCTCGTGTGGGCACCTCGGCCTGGCACGCATCAGCTTCCCAGATGCAGAAGGAAGGCCGGTGTTGGGTTTGCTGCCGTGGCCGTGCAGTGTGGTTACGGGAAGCAGCTCGTCACGCAGGGAGCCCTGCACGTCATTGCGGGGGGCGTTGTGAAAACTGAGTCCCCAGATGCAGCCGGGACCTTCTAAGCACAGCAGGCCCGAGCCTGGTGTGGGGTCTTCTGCAGAGCACATACGCGCGTGATCCTGGCGAAAACTCGCGGGTCCCTGGGAGGGAATCGGTGTCAAGACAGATACAGGAAAAGGGAGCCGAGTCACAGTGGTGGGAAAAGGACCCCAAGAACAAAACAGCAAGGCCCGAGCAGCACTGTGTCTCCCCCAAGAGCACCGTGCAGACCCCGGCGGCAGACTCGGCCGGCTGGTGCAGGGCTCTGCCTGGCCGTCTGGAGGAGCCCCTGCCCCTGCCCACCCTGCTCATTTAATAAACGGTTACCCAAGCGGCCCCACTGGCAGGCCCGTGCACCCTGGGCAGCAGCCTCGCCTCAGCCTTGCTGTGCCAGAGCCCCTGCAGCCCCGAGCCCTCCCCGAGACCCCTCCATGGCCACAAAAGGCAGAGCCCCTTGAAGGGTGAGCAACATGGGAAGTCAGCTGCCGGGCTGGCTCCTCGCTTTGCTCAGAGAGGCTGAGCGGGGAGGTGGTGGCAGAGAGGATGGCAGGGCCAGCACAGGAGCCGGAAGGACTTGTTCCCTCAGACTCCGCCTGCCCGGGGCCACTGGGCCCGGGGGTGGGGGAGCACCAGGAAGGGCCCGAGGTGACCCCCAGGCCTGGGAAGTTGTCCCGGAACCCCAGGGGGAGGTTTCGCCCTGCCAGCCGCCTTCCTTCCAGCACTGGAGCAGGCAGAGCCATTGACGGGGCTTAGCGGCCATATTTTCCAGAAAATACTTACCTCGAGGCATTGAATCACAGAGGAGAGCCGTGGTGACACATGGGCCAGGGCGCCAGTGACACATGGGACAGAGCGGCGGGCGGAATCCCCCACACTTACTAAGCTGTCTTTCCCTAGAGACTGAATTTGTTTAAGAGAGACGTGACCGAGGTGACTCTCCTATGTCATGTCTCTCCTATGTCATGTCACCTCGTTGGTGAGGTCACCCCGGCGTTGGCTGTGTCGCGTGGCAGTCAGCATGCGTGGCCCAGGTTCTGCCACAGTGATCGACATCCCCAAACCTCGGGGGCTGGGAACTTGACTTTGCTCCATGAACATCTCAGGCTGGCCAGGGAGCTGGCTCCATGTTGCCTTCTTCCCGGGAATGCTGGGAAACAGCCTTCTCTGTCTAGAACATTCCGTCGCAGGGAAAGGAAATAGCAAATCACACACCGGCTCAAAAAAGGCGTCTGCCCCAAAGTGGGACATGTCACTTCCACTCATGGGTCGTTGGCCCGGACAAGCCGTGTGTCAGGGTGACGCCCTGCGTTGCCTGGAGAAGCCGTGCTGGTCTGTGGCCAGGCCCTGCTCTCTGCCAGTTTTTTGAGGCCTCGGTGACTCTGCTCCTTCAGCAAACAGTTCCTGCGCTCCCGCTGGGACTTGTCATCTGGAGTTGTGAGCGTTGGGGGCACTGACTGGGAACAGACCGCGGCCCCTGCCCTCCAGGACCTGACTTCTGAGCAGGGGACCCCGTGTCGTTTCAGCATCAATCCTCCATTCCAGTGATGCTTCTAGCGGCTCTCTTTGTCAGGCGGGGGCCTGGGGTCTGTGGGGCCACTGCTGCGGCAGCCTTGGCCGGAACACTGGTCTCATCATTTTGAGTCACTTGGTATTTGCTGATTTGGACTCAGCAAGTCGTGTGATGTGATAGCTGCAGTGAGACACCTGGGCAGAGCGTTCCGCCTGCCGGGCAGCCGAGAAGCCAGGAAAGGAAGAAGCATCTGCATTTCCCATCTGGGTCCTCAGAAACAAATGCTAGGCTGTAAGCTGACCGTCCAGGCTGGCCCTGGCCGCAGTGCTCGGTGCCTCCTCCGTGTGACCAGGACACGGCTCGGCAGCCGCCTCGGGCCCCGTGAGGACAGCATGGGCAGAGCTTTGGTCCCTGCACGTCTCTTGTCAGAAACACCGTCAGCCGTAAATCTGGCCCTCTGGATACTTGTGTGTCAGGATCTTTTGGGTCATAAGTGACAGCACAGCCACCCTCAGCTGGTGTGACAGAGAGGGCTCTGTCATTGGAGCAGACGAAGAGCCCGGAGCTCTAGCTTCAGGGGCTCCCAACACGTCAGCAGGACCCCGTTCCTCTGTCCATGTCGCCGCCTCGTTCCATGAGCGGGCTCCCTTCTCAGGCACACTTGCTCCTGGTGATCACAGGGCCGCAGCCTCACTGAGCCTCATGTCCTCAGTGGAAACCAGGGAAAGGGGGGCTCCGTGCCCAGGACTCCCCCAAAATTCTCTCTGATTGGACCTTTCCACATTGTGGGCAGCACAGCCATCATCACCACTGAGTCACCGTCACGGCCAGGAGTGGACTCTGCCAGATGGCAGGCGGAGCGGGAGTGGGTCAGACCAGCCTGTGTGCACTGAGAGTGGGGGCTGGGTGGGTCCCCAGGTGGATACCCGAGGCCGGTGTGCCACAGATGGGGAGAGGCACTGGGAAGGCAGATGACCAGGGTGCTGTTAGTTCATCTGCCTCCCTTTCCCCATTGTCTCAACGTCCTGGTCAGGTCAGGAGAGCTCCCTGGGAAGCCGCGCTGCCATTGCTGAATACATCCGGTCCCTCCCGCTCCCCAGCGACAGGCCAGAGCCTCTGTCCGTCAAGCCCACCTGTCTGTCAAGATCCCGAAGCCTAAGATGCAGATTTGAGCTAGACGTGAGTGCTGCCCGGGCAGGCCAGCTGGCCTGCCTGTGCCATGTCTACCCCCCGACCCTCCCCTTCCCGGCTCTTTCCCTCACTCCTGTTGAGTCCCTCAGCCAGCCTTCATTGACCACCTACTGTGCGCCAGGAGGTGAGGGCCCCACGTGGACAGAAGGCCCCTTGCTCTCCTGGAGATGGCGTTCTCCTGGGGAGGGGGATGGCTGTAAACCAGCCAGCACACAGCGCAGCAAGCCCACGCAACCCCAAGTGCCGAGACGGGGGAGGGAGGCCGTCCTCAGATGGCCGAGCTGAAGGAGCCCGCAGCAGATGCCCTGGCTGTCGGGAGCTGGCGTGGGGAGATGACTTGGGGCCCCAGGCATGGCAGCTCTGCGTGTGTTGTGCGGACCCCTGACGGGTCTAAGAGGGGGTGACCTGGCCTGACTCCCGCCTGTGAAGCCTGCCCCGCCTGCAGCGTGCAGAGTGGAATGAGGAGGGACAGGCACGGGCTCCCAGTCCCCGTCCCCGTCCCCGGGGAGCAGCCCCAGTGGCCAGCACGGGACAGCCCCCTCCTCCTCCGCCCCGAGATGGCCGTTCCCGTCCTCGTGCTCTGCACTCATACCACAGAGAAGGGGTGGGGGGCCGGGTGGAAAGAGCCCATGTCACCTCTAGGCAGGCTTCCCGCATGTGTCCCGAAGCCCTAGGCGCCACCGGATGTACGAGCTTGGTGGGCGCCTCCGCCTCCCTCCTTGGACGCAGCCCCTGAGGGCACAGGGCACAGATCGTTGTCTGTCCATGTAGGCCAAGGATCCTCGCAGGGTCCCATGCCTGGGCCCTCACCCCGGGCCCAGTCTTGGCGTGGGGACACGAGTCCTTTATAAACGTCCTCTGTGGGACCTAGGAGCCTACACGAGGGCCGCTTTGTGCCTGAGCTCATGGCCCAGACTGAGGCCGGGGCAGCAGTATCTCGCGGGAGCTCCACTGTCTAAGACACCTGCGTGTTTACCGCAGAGAACGTCAGGCCTCTAAGCTTCATACGCAAATGTCGTTTGTGTCTACTAGATGGACAATGAACGGGACTCCAACACCTCCAAGCAGAGGGGCTCGGGGAAGGTGCACCTGTGTGTCGCCCGCTACAGGTGAGAGCCATGCTGTGCACACCCGCTGAGAGCCGTGAGCATGGGGGCCCTGGGGCAGGTGCGGTGGTGGGTCTGGGACACCTGTGACCCCCAGGCCCTGAGAGAAGGCGGCTCAGCCACGCTTTGGAGGATGACAGGGTTTGGTTTGTTCTGATGGAAAGAGTTTGGAAAGTGTGTTAGTTTCCCAGATTGTCACAAACTTGGTGGCTTAAAACAACAGGAATTTATTCTCCTGTTTCTGGAGGCCAGAAGTCAGAAATTGGGGAGTCGGCAGCGCGAGGTTCCCTGAAGGTCCCGCGGGGGACCCTTCCTGCTTCCTCCAGCTTCTGGTGGCTGTATGTGTCCCTGGCTTATAGATACATCACTCCAATCTCTGCCTCCATCATCACATGGTCATATGCTGCAAAGATGCCAAATGTACAGCTCGGTTTCAGTATTGTCTTTTTGTTTTCAATCTGTATGAGGTAGCCAGAAGTGAGTGGCCTGAGTTTTGCGTGCACAGAGGACTAGCTTGTTAGCACCGAGCCCTCATGCAGGTCTGTAATTTCTAAGTAATAGGAGCGAGCAGCGCGTGCCAGCGTGCTAGCCCGGCACCCTGCAAGGGAACAGCTAGGGTCAGCCTCTGTCCGATGCAACCACTGAGCAAGTTTTCTTTCTTTCTCTAGTTACAACCCCTTCGATGGGCCGAATGAGAACCCAGAGGCCGAGCTGCCCCTCACGGCGGGGAAATACCTCTACGTCTATGGGGACATGGATGAGGACGGTTTCTTTGAAGGTCTGTTAGAACGTGACGACGGTTGGCACATGGGCTGATCCACCCACCAGACGAGCCAGGTCCCCACATACTCCTGGCTGCCCCGGTGCTCTGCTCTGACTTCCTGCTGTTCAGAGTTACCAGGTTTTCCCTTTTCTGATGGCTGGGTGGCGTTTCCTAGTGTGACACTTGGTGGAGATAGTATACTCTTATCAACCTTCAGAGCTTCCCAGGTAGCTGCTGTAGACACATGGGCCGAGGGACCCTCTCGTCCCCACAGGGTCTCTCCCTCCTGCCTCTTACTGCCCAGCACTCGGGGGCTGCCAGGCGACGTCCTCTCAGGCAGGGCCAGGGCCATCCAGGTGACCTCACCTGGCTCGGCACGACCCACTGGTGGTCTGGCCCCACGTCCTGCCCGATCACCCCCTTCATGGTCACCTCCCACAATCTGAACTCAGGAATGTGAACGCCGCCTAACCTGTTGTATTTTAGGTTGAGGTTGACATGTGACAGCACCAGCAGCTTCACACAGCGAGGCTCCCCACTCACGTCCCTCAACTTTGCAATTGCCTGGTACAAACAGAAGGGTCTTGGTTTCTTCCTGTTTCCTGAGCAGGACTACTTCCTGCGAAACTGGCAGGGTACTCTGTCATGAGCTCGTGGAGTTAGTGGCCTTAGAGCTGACAGGAGCCCGAGCCTGGTGTTGGGTGCTGCGGGGCATTCGATCGGGCCGCCCCATCAGCATTCATGAGTGGAACCCCGCTAGTGGACCGAGTCACTTAAATGAGCTGCAGAAGGACGGTGGCTGAGGACAGTCGCCCAAAAAATTTCACCACGGCTGGTGGAAAGTAAATACATACTACTATCACTGGTTTGCACACCTGTGTAGAAGTGTGTGCCCACGGCTGCTGCCAGAAAACCCTCGCCAGAATCTCTGGAATATTGACACCAGGCCAAGCATTGTGCCACATAAATTTTCTAGGGGCCTGCTTAAAGGCAGACTGCAAAGCTCAGAGCTCCACTGTCTTGTGTGACAGCAGGACGCTTACATCACCTGTCTATGCCTCAGTTTCCCTGGCTGTAGAATGTAGGCAGTAACAGTCCCCACCTATGGGGGGTCTGTGAGGGTAAATGAGACCTAGATATGGAGTGGGGCTGGTGCATAGTACTTGCTCAGTTATGTGGGTTATTGTCGTCATCATCACCCTCACTATCACCACCATCACTACCATCACATTGCCATCACCATCATCCTCACCGCCCTCACCATCACCACCACCATCCCCACCCCGAGTCTAAATGAGGCAGTGTTTAGAGAGCACCCGTAAGGCAAGGACTGACTACTTGAGACAGACCCCCTTGGTAGGGCGAGGAGCAGACTGAGTCCTCATTTATTCTGGAGGAATCCAGGACTAATGAAATGCCGGCTTTAGTGCCTGTCAGGGGGGCTGTACTGGGAGCAGTGCCCGGCCTCCTGGGTCACTCCGCCTCCAAGCAAGTCCTCTCTGCAGGCACCGCGACGAGGGAGATGGTCCACTCCTGCTGGTGCTGGCAGATGACCGAAACCGCGGCGACCTTGAAACCCCTCCAGATACTTGTCAGTTCTCCGGGCCTCTGCCTGTAGCAGGCTTTTGAGCCCCTTGAATAGAGAGAACATACAGAAGTTGGACCATTTCACAAAATACAAAGGGGTCCCCACTGCGACAGCCCGTAGCCACAAGAGCTAGTTGGGTGGCGTTTTTTTTGCCTCTCAACTTACAGGTGGTTGTGGCACCAAATTGATAGTCACTGTTCCACCCAACATGGACACACTGGGAATCTCATTAAGCTGCACACAGCGCCTTGCAGGGGGGATGTCACCGTAGTTCCTCTGTATGATTGCTCAACCAAAAATAAAAGTAAGATGTTTGATTTTAGCCCCCCCCCCAACCCCACGTTTTACACATTTGTTCGTCAGTGCACTGACTGTGCCAGGTGTCACCCTGTGACTGTTGAGTAGTGAGCAGCAACTGTCCCTGTCCTCACAGAGCGTTGTCCCCGTCGGCAGCTGGGAGTCAGCATACAGATGAAGGGAAATGAACTGAGTGGGTTCAGGTCATGACAGGTGCTGCGGAGGAACCAGGCTGATGGATGGATGGAGGGCGTTAAGCAGTTGGTGGGATTGGGGAGGGGCGGGGAGGCGGCGGCCTGGGCTCCTGAGGAGGTGACAAGCAGCAGATTCCTGCACAGAGCTGAGAAGTCCATTGCAAGCCTGTCACTTGCCCCGTGGCCCCATCAGGGGGAAGTGCCAAGTGTCCTGCAGGACCTCGGGGCTCCCGTGTGATGATAACTCTGTCCTGGTACCCAACAGGCGAACTACTGGATGGGCAGAGGGGCCTGGTGCCCTCCAACTTTGTGGATTTTGTCCAGGACAACGAGTCTCGATTCAGCACCCTGGGGACTGAACAGGATCAGAACTTCATCAACCGTTCCGGCATCGGCCTGGAAGGGGAGAACATTCTGGACCTGCACTCCCCGCCTCACCTGGACATTGGCGTCACTGACAACGGTGTCGGGACGCTGGACGTGAACATCGATGATATTGGAGAAGACGTCGTGCCTTACCCTAGGAAAATCACCCTCATCAAACAACTCGCCAAAAGTGTCATTGTGGGCTGGGAGCCGCCGGTGGTGCCGCCGGGCTGGGGGACCGTGAGCAGCTACACGGTGCTGGTGGACCAGGAGCCGCGCCGCAGCCTGGCCCTGGCCGGCAGGACTAAGGCCCTCGTGGAGAAGCTCAACATGGCGGCGCGCACCTACCGCGTGTCGGTGCAGTGCGTCACGAGCAGGGGCAGCTCGGACCAGCTGCAGTGCACGCTGCTGGTGGGCAAGGACGTGGTGGTGGCCCCTTTGCACCTGCGGGTGGATGGCATCACGCAGACCGCCGCCCAGCTGTCCTGGATGCCCAGCAACAGCAACTACAGCCACGTGGTCTTTCTGGACGAGCAGGAGCTGGACGTGGTCAAGGCCGCCAGCTACAAGTACCAGCTCTGCAACCTCAGGCCCAACACGGCCTACAAGGTGAAGGTCCTGGCCAGGCCCCACCAGGTGCCCTGGCAGCTGCCGCTGGAGCAGAGGGAGAAGAAGGAGGCTGTCGTGGAGTTCTCCACGCTGCCCGCAGGTGAGTCCCCGGGGGACACCGGACGGCACCCTGTCCGTGACATGGAGACGGGTGGGGGGAGGGAGCCAAAGGGCAGAGCTGCGTTCAGCCAACGTTCTCCTGGAAAACCCCTTAAATTGCTCGTGAAGCATGGAATATAGGT